CAGACTGTGATTTTTCTTTTAAACAAAGAAAATCTCTTGCAATCGTTTCTTCTGTTATTGTGTGAGTGCCTTGGGTTAGCACCTTAAATCTATCCTTCATCAATTTATTTTGACAGTCCTCCAAGCTCCATTTTTATGCATTGCATCTCGCCTAAAATTACATAGCTTCAACCTTGAACCTCTCAGTCTTATTCTGTCTCCCTTTTGGAACTCAAATTTATGGGCTTCCTTCCCCAACACACAAAATTCAGAATTTTTGTTCTTCTTTACAGGTCTCTCAATACACTTGATTTGCAATATCTCACCACTTTCTTCAATTCTTTCAACATGGACCTGTCATCTTCTAAAAATAGTTGTTTATTATTCCTCCTTCCTGCACTCTAGCTTTGGTGGTAGACCTTTCATCTCTCCATGTGTGACACTCTGCTGTTTTCACCCTAAATATCTTTGCTTGTTTCACTCTCTCTCTCTCTCTCTTTGTCTATGTCCTCAAACCTAGCTTGTGATTCCATTGTTGGCATTGCTCTGATCATATCTAACTGATTTTCTCCTTATCTTTTTATTACGTTTCGGGTCTGGTGACCCTTCCTCAGAACTGATCTGAGGAAGGGTCACCAAACCCGAAATGTTAACTCTGTTTTCTCCTTCACAGATGCTGCCAGACCTGCTGAGCTTTTCCAGCAACTTTGTTTTTGTTTCTGATTTACAGCATCCACAGTTCTTTTGGTTTATTTTTAAGTTTGTTTATTCTCTGAAAGATATCCATCTTTTCTTTTCAATGCACTTTAAGGAAGACTGAGATCCATCTCACAATTTTTGCAACCCCAGGAGTGTAATTATTTTTTTAATGTGTTGTCACTGTTGGTAAAAGGACAATAGTTGTTCCTTTTGTCATGGACAAAATTACTTATAAAGGTAGAATAAATTAATTATCCTTCAATATGTCTGACTCCAGAAGCCGGTTAGTTATTTAGTCTGACATACTGTACTGGCAGTATGCATCACAAAGTAGTTTCCTACATTGTCTTTGATCAGTTGTGTGCATTAATAACTCACTCCTGTCCCTCACCAAAAAAAAATGCTCTTTTCAGCTTCTGTATGGAAACTAAAAAGGAGTGAATACTTTGGCTTTGGAGCATAGACAATGATAAAATGTTAATTATTCAATGATCTTTCATCTGTATCATTTATTGAGGATTGGGGCAGCATTTCTGCTCCTTCCATTTGATTCATGTATGAGCTATTAAAGGCTGCATTAAATTAACTTATACAATTTTTGTCAAATTAAAATAAATCATATAAATTATACAAAATGAGAGCTCCTTGGAAAATTCATGATTTTGGTACTGTCACATGCCAAATCTGTAAATCCTTCAGTAGTTTGATTTAAGGCTTATTATCCACCATCAGGCAACTGCCGTGAAGACATTGCAGACACTTTTCAGATTCAAATTCTTTTCATGCAGCAACATAAGAGAAATCCCAGAAATTTGTATTCCCACCAACATATGTTTAACCATTCATAAGGAAACACAAGACTATCCTATTGTTTAAAATAATTGTAATCCAACTTCTGTCTGTTGTTTGAAGAGAGAATGGAAATACTAGCCTGCTTCAAAGGTGTTTCTACATTTAATGGAATTTCTTGATAGCACGATATAGAGGAATGAGATTGAAACCCAACACATTGTATTTAATTTGCAATACCGTATGCACGTCACTCTGTGTATAGAATAGATATGGATCTTTGGTTTCACACGGGGTTTCACTAACTGAACAAATGAGTCACTTCCTTCATTTACTAATGTTAGTAAAAACAAAAACAAGAGTTTGAAATGAGAACTCATGATGATTTTTAAGGCTTTAAGAGGTGTATTTTGTCTTTTTTTTATGAAGAAAGTTTGAGACAGAGGTAACAATTGGTCTGCTCAAGCCAATAAACAGCTTTTGAGACCTTGGGTCTTTCTTTAAGTTGGAACAATAGAAGCAGCCTGAATGGGTGTGGTCAAGCTCCCACAGAACCTAGATTTTTAGTTCTAGTTGCTGGGGTCAGCTGGATGTGGAAACTGTTATTCCTCTCTCTGTTGCAGCTAAGAGTTGAGGATTATCTTCCTGCTGCTAGAATTGCATGTGAGACAATCTATTTTACTGAATTTACCTTTGTCAAGGGTGTGTATATGGGATGTCACTATACTGAAACAGTTACTGTTTAGTAGTTAAACAATCTGAAATTCTGTTAGGTTTTCCAACAGAGTTAAGTTATTCCAATTTGTTCTATTGTTGTGTTTTAACTATAGCATATAAATCAAGTGTGTTCTGCTTAAAGATGAGTAGTTTGACCAATTGAATTGCATTTGTAAATTAATGCGTGGCACTTGCCTTTAAATAAGGAAAAATTTAGGGTCTAGGCTATCTTCTTCATTTATTTTGGGGAGATTTGGTCTACTCTATAACACTCTCACACCTTTTTCTAACGTTGTGCAACGTGAAAATATTCAGAACTTATAAGATTTCAATGCAATTTATTTTTCAATAAAACACTGTTGTGAAGTAAATGTGTATCTATAAATCATATTTTTAATGGTGAAGACATATGTGATTATTTTCGAATGGCTTATGTTTTATTGCATAATGGTCAGAAAATAGCTCAAGTTTTATCATTAGTTAATAGTTTGGCTGGTTACCACTTCACTGCACTGTTGAAGTGGAAAGTTGCAAGCTAATGATGTGAGATAGTGCCAAAAGGATTGAGAGAAAATTAAGTCTAATGGAGAGAAAAACAAGTTACCAAGAGTTTCAGCAGAGGTTGCAATTGGCAATCTGGATGCAAATTGCCAAATGTGAATTTTCAATTGGTCAGCTTGGAAAATACTCCTCATTGGGTCAAAATTCTGAAACTTTGTTTCTAACAGGACTCTGGCTGCGTCTAGGTGATATAGACTGCAATGGTTCAAGAAGATGGGGCTTGCAAACATCTTCTGAAGAAAGCGTAGGAATGGACAGTAAATACTGGCCTTGTCAGTGATGCAAGCACCTAGTGAATGATAAAAATACTTTCCACTCACTCGCTTGCGTGTCTGTAAATATAAAATCTGCCAATGAATTTGAACCTTGTTGCAGAATTTTCCTTTAATTCTTTGCATCAATAATAGTCTTCGATATAAGAGTATGTCAACTTGGTATGCTTGTTACCACTGAAAATGGATTTGTCACAAATGACTATTTATATATAGAAATGAAACATATTATTTACCAGCTTAAATTATTTAATTTTTAAAAATGTCTTGCGTCTGTAAGCTCAACTTAACAATGAGGCATATTGATCGCTTGCAAACCAGTGAAACCCAACCCACACTATTTTCCAATGCCCAGTTCAAAGATACTGTAAAAATAATATAATGTAATATATATATGTATATTATAAAATAGATTAATAGTATATTCCAAGAATGTGCATAGTTTAATGAGAATGTTGCTGATTCTACCTACTCAATAGTCCCTTCCTTTGCCAGCTACATAACAAAATTATTTTGCTAAAGCTTTTTCATCATTGTCAGATCCTGAAAATGCAATAACTCCTTTAAGTGATCAGCATGACAAGGGATTTAAGCCTTTTATTTGTAAATTTCTGCGTACAGTTCTGCATAAGCCTTTTGGATTAATTGGATTTTGTGTATGCAATATTAGTACAGCCGAAGTCAGATCTCAGAGTTAACGTCATCTTCAGCTAAGCCACATCACCTAATGCATGAACTGAAGCTACTATCTAGATCTGTGGTTTTACAATGATTAGGCATTTTGCACTAATAGGTTTACACCCAGAAATGTTACTAACCGGTTCCAGCAACCTTTTGTTGTTTTTTTAAAAAATCATCGATACTTGACCGAATGTGATTAATTAAATGATGGCACATTCTCTTTCTTGATTGTATTGGATTACATGATGACTAATGACAGATGGCATCAGCAGAAATAAAATACCTCATTTCATTCAAATTAAAGAATTTTGAATCAGCATGTAGTAAATAGGTTATCCATTTAAAAATAAACTTTGCACTTTGGGTTCAGAACAATATAAATGTACTGAACTCTTGCTATGTTAATTTTAAAGAATGTTTATCAATCTGGATTGTGAAGACATTCTTACTATTGCACTCTAATGTCTGCCCACTTCAAAAATGATGGCGTTGCTCATGGCTATAAATTTTAATAATATCATCCAGAAGTATTTTGTTAGTTTTCGCATCTACACTGACAACACCCAGCTCCCCTTTACCACCACCACTCTTGACTCTTCCGCTGTTGTTAAATTAATAGACATCTTATTCAACATCCAGGACTGGATCAGCAGAAGCTTCCTTTAGTTTGGTCCTGAAAAGATGAAACCACCCACAACTTCACTCTTCTTAGAAACTGTCTGAGATTAACCAGACTGTTTGCAACCTTGTTTCATATTTGAAGATTTGAGATGAGCTTCTGACCATGTAGCTTCACCATCACTGAGACAGTCTATTTCCATTTCTAGAACATTGTCCTATCTCACTTTGTCCAAGTCATTTCTAGTAAAGGCCTCTTTCAAGTCTTTGTTACATATAGACTTGACTATCCCTGTGCATTCCTGCCTGGTCTCCCAATCTCTGCGCATCACAAACTTGAGATCATTGAAACGACTATTGTTCATGTCTCAATTTTGGTGAGTATCTCTGTGTGCTTTTGGCTGGTGAGGATCTTAGCTCTGGAATTTCCATCTTACACCTCTTCACCTTTCTCCCTCATTTTTCCCTTTAAGATACTTCTTATAACCTATCACTTCAATGGCGGTGTTATGCTTCTCTGCTTCCTTGACCTGAAGTAACTCATGTCTAATTTGATTTAATAACACTCCTGTAAAAGGTTTTGGGATATTGTTTCACATTGTAGTCACCATGTAAATAGAAGTCATTATTATGAAGTACAATTTTACTTGTGAATATCTCATGCAAATGTTCTTTTTTTTCCAGTTAAAAAGTTGATTGAGCTGAAGTCCCGAGGAGTAAAACTGCTTCCCAGCAAAGATAATCAGAAGCCTTCAGTTTGTAAGTTACTCTGTTTTCCAAATTCAACAAGTGAATCTCAGGGACAAATCTTCTGCTTTTTATTAAAAGTGTAATGGCAGGTACAAAAATGTGTGAGAGATTACTGTCCACCAACACCAATGTGATCAGGAAAGCCCACTGGATCCTGGCACTGCAGTGGTCACCTAGTTGGCCGCCTTCTGGATAATTTCCTCAGACAGAGATGTTCCATCATCCCCAACTCCACCCCACCCCACCCAAAACTCTTGCCAGTCTGATGCTGGCAGCTATTGTAAGCCACAATGCTACTTCAGAAACTGTGGTATAGTAGAAACCAAGGACAAGGGGGATCGTCAGTAACTTCTCAGGGTGGATTGAGGGGTGAACCTCATGGGAAGAAGTGTGTCATAGGGTTGAGAAGCAAGGCCACTATCTTTCAAGGTCAGTCCCAGCTCCTCATTAATGCCCTCAGTCATTTCCAAATTGTGGCACATCAAAGCTCTTACCCAACCCAGCAGGCAGTCCATTTCATTTCTTATTTGGAAACAGTGCTCTCACCTCCCAGGAATGAAGTTAGTATGCGAAGATGGCATGAAGAGGCCCAATAACTTGTTATTAGTTGACAACTCAAGGGCCTCAATTTGGCACAGGATGGGAAGGTCTTCTTGGGAGGGGAAGATTCTACGCTACATCTTGGTGTTTCCTTCTCTCAAATAAACTTTCTATTGTTGATTTTCTACTATGTCTATGCTCCCCCCAATCTTTTTGTGAGACTTTTATTTTCAACTCGAAATGCTGAAAGTTTCAGGATACACCCTCAGTTCCTTCCCCATTCACTGTAAAGAGTGATCTGGACTCCGCTTGCCCTCTTGGACAAGATACTTGGACTAGAAATTCATCATGTCGGTGTGAACCAGCATCCAATCAATGACCTGAATAAAGAAAGTACTGCAGTTACAGCACAAAAAACTGTGCATTGTTCTGATCGCATAAGAAAACAGTTCTAAAAGGATTAATGCTGGAGACTGCATTAAGCTCTACACCATTTGATGATGTCATAAAGTCTATGGAAGGGATAAGGCAAAACATTTTTGGATTTTAAGGAGTGCAGACCAACCTCCAGACATAACCAAATAGTCTTAGTAGCCAAGCCCAACTAACTAATGTAACGCGTACTTATTTGCTATCGTGAAGTAAATGACATCATCTTACTCAACCTCTGTAAACCAACAAGGACCTTAAAACATATTCAATGGAACAGGAATCACAGCAGCATTCTTCTACCACCAAATACCATTTCAGGATTTATTCAAGGTCACATCCTGGAAGCTAGATCGAGATTAATATCCTTCACATTTATCTTCATTAAACTGAGAAATGCCAATTTCCTAATCCCATTTTTCATGCATCCTCTCTCTTTAATTTAAACTTTGAAACAATCAGCGATTTATCAAATGACCCAAAATCTATCATTGTATTTTTCCTAAACGTAACAATTTTAATCAGTTGATCAACAAAAGGGCTAATAACTTTTGCTGAACTGTCAAACAATGGATGCTGGTTCCATGTACCACCAGTAGACACTGCAGCTCGCAAGTAATAAGTAGTTCAGTACTTCCCCTACATCATGTAACTCTCATTGGTAAGACAGACAAAGAGTCATTGCAATTTATTGGCTGTCCTTGCCAATGAAGTCTCAAACTAAATCTGGATGAGAAAAGGTATTTGGGCCATACTACCTCATCCTTCAGTGAAAACTTGAAATGTAAATGCAACCTATCTATTTTCTTAGCCTGTCTGGTCATCATTTTACCAGAGCAATGCATGGATTTCCCTCTCTTATTTTTCCTTCTCCCTTCCCCATTCCATATCGCTGAGGTTTTCACTCATTTTACTTCTCTGTATTTCTCTTTTACTTTTCTTTTCATGTAATACTCCAAATTTGAATTGTCCAGTGTCACTGGTATTTCCAGCTGTGTCACTGGAAGTTCTCCAGGACTAGAATTTATTTTACTCAATTGTTTTTCATACTAATAGTCACAAGTATAGTCTGTCACTTGGTATAAACCCGTGCTAGATTCTGTTCTGAAGGCCTGGATTTTTTGCAGAATTGAGAGGACTCTTGTACCATTGAAAAAATGCAAGATAGGTTCTGATTTCAGGATTCCCACCCCTATTCTCAGAACTGAATATTTTTGCTAATGCAGGTGTTTGATTGCAGATAGTAAGCCTGCATCCAACACTCCTGATCCTATTGGAATCATTACAGGGGTAGGCATTTCATAGTGCCTGGCATTTTCTGTGAAATCAGGCTTGCTTCTCCAACATATATGGCCCATATCCTTCCCGAGAAATCATGAACCATATTCAGCATGCTGACTGGCTAACTGCGATGGGTGTGATCAGGGGCCCGCAGGACAATATCCATCCTACTATTGGCTCCACTGAAGTAAAGATTAGTTATAACAGGGCCCTTTAAACCGAGGCAGAAATGTCGAGTCAGAAGCTAGTTGCCTTGGTCACAGTATTCTCATGTGGTTTGATGATGTTTAATTCTGTGTTTGAGTGAAGATTTGTAACTCGGGTGCTGGTTTAGATGTTGGTGTGTTTGCCGAGCTGGGAGGTTTGATTGAAGACGTTTTGTTCCCTTACTCAGTGGTATCCTCAGTGCTGTGGAGGCTCCTGTGAAGCGCTGTTGTCTTGTGCTGCGCTGTTGTCTTGTGCTGATTCGAATTTATATTGTCCGGTTTTTGCTGCTTCCGGTTACTCCTGGTTCTGGCTGTGGGTTGTGATGGTTGGCATGTCGGGTCTAATTCAATGTGTTTGTTGATGGAATCCGCGATTGAACGCCAAGCATCCAAGAATTCCCTGGCTGTCCTGTGTTTGGCTTGTCCTATGACAGTAACGTTGTCCCAGTTGAAAGTATGGTTTTTCTTGTCTGTGTGTATTGAAACCAAGGACATCTGGTTGTGCCGTTTAGTTGCTAGCTGGTGTTCATGGATGCAGGTTGGTACTTGTTTGCCTGTCTGTCCCACAGTGTTTTGTGTAGTCTCTGCATGGTATCTTGTAAAGTACATTCGTCCTGTCCATGGTGTCTATTGGGTCTTTAATCCTGGTCAGTTGGTGTCTTAGTGTGGCTGCCGGTTTGTGTGCTGTCATGATTCCTAGTGGTCTAGGTAGTCTGGCTGTCAGTTCTGAGGTGTTTTTTTATATATGATATGGTGGTTATTGTTTCGGGGGTTTTGGTGTGTCCTGGTTGTGTTGTCTGTGGGCTAGGCATCTGTGGAAGAATTTGCGCGGGTATCCATTCCTGGTAAAGACCTTGTAGAGGTTTTCTTCTTCTTCCTTCTGCAGATCGGGTGTGCTGCAGTGTGTAGTGGCTCTTTTGTACAGGGTCCTAACGCAGCTCCTTTTGTGTGAGTTGGGATAGTTGCTGTGATAGTTTAAGACCTGATCATTATGTGTGGATTTCCTGTATGATTTTGTAGTGATGTCACCGTTCTCTTTTCTTTCCACCATCACATTCAGGAATGGGAGTTTGTTGTTATTTTCCTCTTCTCTGGTAAATTTGATCCCTGTGAGTCTGTTGTTGATGAGTCGGTGGGTGTTCTCAATTTCTGTTCTTTGTATAACTACAAAAGTGTTGTCCATGTATCTGATCCAGAATTTGGGTTAGATCCGTGGGAGAGCTGTTTGCTCCAGTCTTTGCATGACTGCCTCAGCTATCAGTCCAGAGATGGGTGAGCCCATGGGAGTCCCATTGATCTGCTTATACATCTTGCCATTGAATATAAAGTGGGTTGCTAAGCGTAAGACCAGTAGTTTGAGTATGCAGTGTTTGTTGATCTGTTCCTCATTTTGTCGTCTATTGTGTTTGTCTAGTAGGTTGGATATGATTTCTTTGGCTAGGTTTCAGTCAAAGACATGTCAAGACATACTCACAGGGAGCAAATTAACAAGTGAGGAGGAAAACAACAACAAACTCCCATTCATGAACATGATGGTAGAAAGAAACAAAAGTATACAGGAAATCCACACATAATGACCAGGTCTTAAACTATCACAGCAACCACCCCAACTCACACAAGAGGAGCTGCGTTAGGACCCTGTACAAAAGGGCCGCTACACACTGCAGCACACCCGATCTGCAGAAGGAAGAAGAAGAAAACCTCTACAAGGTCTTTACCAGGAATGGATACCCCGCAGCTTCACCCACAGATGCCTAGCCCACAGACAACACAACCAGGACACATCAAAACCCGAAACAATAACCACCACACCATATATAAAAAAAAACCTCAGAACTGACAATCAGACTACCCAGACCACTAGGAATCATGACAGCACACAAGCCTGCAGCCACACTAAGACACCAACTGACCAGGATTAAAGACCCAATAGACACCATGGACAGGACGAATGTACTTTACAAGATACCATGCGGAGACTACACAAAACACTATGTCGGACAAACAGGCAAACAAATAGCAACCCGCATCCATGAACACCAGCTAGCAACTAAACAACATGACCAGATGTCCTTGGTTTCAATACACACAGACAAGAAAAACCACACTGGGACAACACTACTATCATTGGACAAGCCAAACAGAAGATAACCAAGGAATTCTTGGAATGTTGGCATTTATCCACGGACTCCATCAACAAACACATTGAATTAGACCCGATATGCCAACTATTACAATGCACAGCCGGAACCAGCACCTACTGGATGCAGCAAAAACCAGACATTATAATTTCGAACCGACACAAGACAATGACACTTCACAGGAGGCTCCACAGCACTGAGGATATCACCTGGTAAGGGAACGAAACGCCTTCAATCAAACCTCCCAGCTCGGCGAACACACCAACACCTACGACATTTAATTTCTTTTGAAGGTCAGGAGAGTCCTGGCCGGTGACCCCATCAGCTGTTTAGTAGTTTGACATTTGTGATAGGAGAAAATCAGAACAACCTTCTCTCATTACCTCTGCTATGTATGCCCCAATTTTCCAAGCATGAAAAAAGTATTTTTCGGGCCCTAACCCCAACATTTGATAAAATTTGTACTGAAAATATTACTTATTTGTCGAAGCTGGATTTTTGATCATGTTTCACTTGCAGATCTTGCCCACTTATTCTCTAACAAATTCATGTATCAGTGGTAACAATGTTCGAAAGTTGAGCCACAAAAATCATGATCATCTACTGATAATGTTGCCCTTTGTAAATATGCATGAGCTTGAGCTGTATGGGAATTTTAAATCAACATATGTCAAAACTCATTTTCATGCCCTTTGCCATTTATCTGTCTACAAGTCAACATGTGTTTGTATGATTTGTCAGGTTCCAGTGTAAATATGTCAGCAACAGTTATTCTCATAGATTGCTAAAATATCATTTGGATTGTGTCTTTTTCTACTGTGGTGGGGATGCATCTTATGATCTTTTGTTCATTATTTTTTCCCTTTTAAGTTAAGTTGGTCTACTTTTTGCCCAGCCGATGGGACTTTATTATCTCCCTGCACTTACATGATTCCAGATTTGTAAATACTGTACTTAAGTTAACATTGTCTAAATCTTTCACTGCTGAAGCTATTTTCTGAAAACTAGTTTGCAGCTATGTTTGCGAAAACTGAATGCTGGAAGCTACAATTTTGAAGGACAGAGTTCAGTTTTTTTTAAAAGTAATTATTAACACTCTAATTATCTGTGCCTTATGCCTTTCTGCTGGTAGCATTGTTTTTATTTAAAGCTCATATTTTGCACTTGACTACATACATGTGAAAGCCCAGCACCACTCACTGTCTGGTCAAGCTCAATTGCATGACTATCCCATTTTTATTAACCTGCAAAACATTGCATGAATTGAACACCTACAGAGTAATCATCTCTGTTTCTGTTAGATGTTCAAAACTTGTCAGGTGCAGGCCAAGCTATGACACCACTGTATGAACATTATAATTCATATATACAAGCCACCTTACCAGAGAGTATTGTGGTTTTAAAAATAGTCCAGTTGTTTTCTGGTTAATACATCCTAAACAATGTGCAGTTGTTGACATGCACATGTTAAACATGAAGCCAACCAGCTGTACAAATGAAAGGAGTGCTAAAAACTGATTGTGAAGTCAGTTCTTAAATTGTTCACTTTTAATTCCATTTAATTAGTATTTTTCAAATGAATAAAATAATTTTTTGTCCATCTTGTAATTCTTATATGGCATCTCAAATTAAAAACAAAGTGCTGGAAAGATTCATTAGGTCATGCAGCACCTGTGGAAAGTGAAGGAATGTTCATGTTTATGGTTGATTACTTTTTGCAGACTGGTGTGCACAGTATTTCACTTTTGTCTCTGGCTTCCTTACTTTCATGACATCTTCACAGTCGTTGAAATCAAGTAATTTAATTATCTCTAGTGGTGTACAAGTGAGAGTGTCAAAAATGCAATTGTAAATGTATTTTAACCTTGCTGTCAGCACATCTACTTTAAATGGATTAATGATGCTGTCAAAATTGTGCATGATGGAATATTACGATACTGTGCGAAATTAAATTACTTTGAATCAATAACACGACCAAAAAGTTTGAGTACCCATAAAGAAACTGTTCTGATCATCCAAGGGCAAACTTAACATTAAATTGTGGTTAATGAATTACATATTTACACACATATTACTTGCATGTGAGAGATTTATGTAGCAGGTGAGAACAGATAAACTAATGAGAGAATCAATAATAAAATAAATGCATCAAGATTAAACAAGAAATGAGTCATTATTTGATTTGCCAATTAATGTTAGTCCTACAAGCTATTTTATTGCTGACAGGATTTGTATATTGTAATATCCTATTCATTAATCAATAGAAGAATTGGAAGGTAGATTACTCATAAAATTGGTGTTTGTGTAGATTTCACATAAATTTGTCTATTTTCTTTGTAGTAACTCAAGCAGGCACAGCACAGGGTTATAATATGTGTCCTGACCCAGGAGTTCCTGAATGGGGTAAAAGAACAGGTGTGGATTTCAGGTAAGAAGCACTTAGATCAGCAGGTTTAATTTGTGCATGCATTTATCATTTGAAATATCTGAGTGATATTTTTAAAACTCTTTTTGAAGATTGTTTTAGGTACAGACTCCTTTCATTTCACTCACAGTACAAAGAATGCAACAAGAAGCAGAAAAGTAACATGTGAATGATTATACATTGGTTTTGTGAATGATTGATCCACAACAATTTGAGTCACATTTGATTTTAAAAAGTTCAAAAATACCACAGAGTATATCACTTTTAGTGGTTGGCACCACTGTCACTTCCGTATATTTAAAGATATGTATAGTCTATAAGTTTATAGATGTTCCAGGTTATAAAAAATCTGCTGGAGACGTTTGCAGGACCATTACTTAAAAATAAAAATGAAATCATTAATAAAAAAACACTTTCAATTGCCTTGAGAAAATGTACTTAAACAATGCAAATTGTACATGAGTAGGAACCGAAATAGTATTGGAAAATGTTTTCTCATCATTGGCCAAGGGTGATTTTCAAGAGCACGAGGGAAGACCAGAATGTGTATGAAGCTGTATCACCATCACATACATACTTCCAAGTGGTCAGTAGCAGTTTTTTTTGAAGAGGGAACAGAGAGGGTTGATAAGGGCAAGGCAGTCAATGCGATGTACATGAACTTCTGAAAGACATTTGGCAGAAAACCACGCACAAGATGTGCGAGGGAAATTTTTCACACAGAAAGTGGTAGCAGCCTGGAATGCACTGCCAGAAGAGATGGTGGAAGCGGGCACATTGAAGATATTTAAGAGGCACCTAGATGGGTACATGAATAGGGAGGTAATAGAGGGATACGGATCGAAAAATGGGAGGTTTGTTTTTAGATTAATTAGGGCACGATGGTTGGTACACGCTTGGAGGGCTGAAAGGCCTGTTCCTGTGCTGTAGTTTTTCATTTGTTCATTTGTGCATTTGCAACAATTACAGGTCATGGAATAAAAGGGACAGTGGTAACATGGGTACAAAGTTGACTGATTGATAGGGAACATGGAGTAATGGTCAATGGGTATTTTCCAGGCTGAAGGATGGCTTTGTTATGAAGTTCCCCAGAAGTCTGTATTGGGACACTTGTGTTTCCTGAAATATATAAATTATCTAGATCTTTTTGTGCATGGTACAGTTTCAAAGTTTGCAGATGACACAAACTTTGGACAAAATGTAAATTATGAAGAGGAAAGTGCAGAACGTCAAAAAGACATTGATGAGTTGGCGAAGTATCCAGATAGGAGGCAGATGAAATTCAATGTGGAGAAATAAGAAGCGACATGTTTTCATCCAATGAACATGGAGACACAGTATGTAATAAATGGTACTATTTTAAAGTGTGTGCACAAGTAGAGTGACCTGGCTCTGTGTGTTCATAAATCATTACAGGTGGGAAGACAGGCAGAGTTATTTTAAAACAAAAACAAAAAAGGTGATGCTGAACTTCTGATGGACACTGGTTAGACCTCAGCTCGAGTATTGTATAAAGTTCTGAGTGCAGCACTTTGGGAAAGATGTGAATGCTTTGGAAATGTTGCAGAAGTTGTTCCCAAAAATGATTCCACTGATGAGAAACTTCAGAAGAAAGATTGGTGAAATTGAGATTGCTTTCCTTTGAGAGAAAAAGGCTGAGGGTTCGTTTGTTAGAAGTTTCAACATAATGAGGGTTCCAGATAGAGTGGCTACAGAGAAACTATCCCCATTCTCAAAAGAATTGAAAGCCATAAATAAGGCACAGTTCTTAACGGTTTTCCAAATGAAGCAAGTGCATGATGAGTAAAAGACATGGTCACACTTTGAGTGGTATGGGGTAAAAAATGTATGATGTACATTGATGCTCTGCATAAGAGATTTTATAATTGTGAGTTTGGGAGACATAAAGAGACAACTTCATAGTAATGGTTTGAATTCCTTGTCATCAAAGATCTTGGACGAAACTTTTAATATCCTTGTACCCAAAGCACAAGTCAGCCTGCAGTTGCACCTTGATTAACAGGCAACATATAAAATAGCTGTTGGTGATATTAGGAATCAATTGTTCAATTTAATTATGTTATATGACAACTGCTAATGCTATTATAGAGCAAACAGCAACCGGCCTTTAAAATAGACCGATATATCTGTTAAAACAGAAGATTTTTTAAGAAGTGCTAATTCTGTGGCAAAGTTGACTACAACTACTTTCAAGTTTAAATTCACAAGCTCACTCAAAAGCTGTCATGCAGTTGACTAATGTGGGAATAGAAATATGGAACTTAGTTAGTAGTGGATGTTCTTCCAGTGTTCTAACAGGGAAGAAAAACATTTACCCATTGTAAAGCATGCTGAGTTGAGCCAGGAGAGGATTGTTAATGATGCTGGGTTCTGAAACTATCAACACAAGCAATGTTCATCAAAACACATGAATGTAACAATAGTAAAGTGTTTATAAAATGCAGACAAGATCAAAGAACACTAGGCATGAATCTACGCAAGGGAATAGTCAGGAAGTTGAAACCAAAATCTTTCCTAAAAAGATGGGAGTAAACAAGAGAAGGATGAGTATCGACCAGAGTCAGAGGAGATTAGAATTCAGTTAGAAGAGTGAGTTGTTGATCCAGAGAAAAGAAGTAGGGAAAGTGGAAGGCCACAAATGGATTTAAAGTCAGGGATGAGAATTTAAGAGCTGAATTTTCATACAGCCTGGTCTGCCTTGTAAATCGTCAACAGGACCTGGATATAGAAGTCCACCCTTTATTTCAGGATAAACCAATTTTTTCAACAGTGGTTGGGCGTAAGTCACACAGCAGGAAATTTGAACTTAACAATTTCACTTGAAATTTGTCCCAAGTTCAAGAAAACCCCATTTGCACTGTTCTAAGAGTTTTAACACACAGTGTGAAATGCCAATTTTATGGATAAACACTTGTGAAAGGCAGGCAAGGTATGTGTGATGATTTGAACTTACCTAACTGCCCAGCCCTTTGAAAACAGAAAAATCAACAGGCTAAAGCGGTGAGTTAGAGTAAAACAACAAGCACCCTCTGATGGAATGTGTTGACTGAAAGGCCAATTTTTGTAGCTTTGAAAAAATGTCATTACCACATGCTGTTGCAGTTTCAATAGATCTCCTAACACTTCTGGCCCATTGCTTCAACAACATTTTATGGAAGTAAATAAGCGTTGTACCTGGCAGGTTAAACGCCCACTTTGTACTTTAAGAGTTTGACCCAGTGGGTGGCATGGTCGCTCAGTGGTTAACACTGCTGTCTCACAGTGCCAGGGACCTGGGTTCGATTCCAGCCTCAGGCGACTGTCTGTGTGGAATTTGTACAATCTGTATGGGTTTCCTCCCACAGTCCAAAGATGTGCAGGTTCGGTGGATTGGCCATGCTAAATTGCCCGTAGTGTTCAGGGATGTGCAGCCTAAGTGGGTTAGCTATGGGAAATGCAGGGTTACAGGGACAGGAGGTGGATGTGTGTGGGATGCTGTTCAGAGGGTCAGTGTGAATGGCCTGCTTCTGCACTATAGGGGTTCTATGAATGAGCTGCTTAACAGGTTGTTAGATCCTTAATGCCCCATATGCACACAAACACCTTGATTTCTCCCATGCTATCTCATCCTGGGGTGAAATGCATGCTTGTGAGAGTCATTTCCATTTCCAGAGATCTGCAGAGTTTACCTATGATATAGCCTAATGTTGCAACTTTAGACCTATGCCTTTTCTTGCCTGCTGGAATTTTATGTCAGCTTTGGACTAAGAAAGACAATTAATATTTGTGACATTGTGATCATGAAAATACAAAATAAAACTGGAGATATAAAGAAGTAGTGAAATAACTTTTCACTGCTGATAAAAAAAAACATATTTTGTCCAATTTTTTGTTTTGCACTTATCAGGATGATTTGTAAGAACGCTGCTGTCCTGGGAAATGAAACATGCAACCTTCTGACTAATTCAAGGCAGCTCCATAATTCAGCCAGGATTAAGAACAGAAGTTGCCCCTTAGATATAAGCAAAATACTGCACATGCTGGAAATCTGAAATTAAAAAATATATAAAATTGCTAAAAATAAAACTCAGCACATCTGGCAGTATCCATGGAGAGAGAGACAGAGCCAATGTTTTGAGTTCAGTATGGCTCTTTTACTTCTTCCCTCTCTGATGTGATGTGAGCCATGGCAAGAAAGGTGCAAAAATATGGAGAAAATGTTATCATCTCAATGTGGAGTAAACCTTTTACAATTATCCACTCAAGCCTTAAATGGCAACTTCAAAATTCTGCCAATGAGCAGTGACTACTTATTTAAGTGTATTTGCATCTCATTAAAGCCCCAACCTTCGAAGAGCATCCCAGCCAGACCCATCCTCTTATCCTATCCCTGTAACCTTGCATTTTTCATGACTGATCCACCTAGCCTGCACATCACTGGACAACACAGGGCCAATCCACATAACCAGCACATCTTTGGACTATGGAAGGAAACTGGAACACCTGGAGGAAACCCATGCAGACACAAGGAAAATGTGCAAACCCCACAGACTCAGTCACCTGAGGGTGGAATCGATTCATAGAATTTCATTAGACTGGATAAACCCTGTGTCTATAGGGTCTGCTAACATCACTGTTTCAGCAGCTGACGTATTATCAGCTGCCTTATTTTATTTCCTTGGCTTCACAGGCCAATAGACTACATTTAGTATTCTTTCTCACCAAAAGTATGATAAACCCGTTGTACTCAAATAACCATCCAGAAAATTGGCATATGCAGTGTCGCTAAAAACAATAACTAGCTTCATTTCTACTGGGTCATGCAAAACTGTAAACTTGAGGTGCGTTTCCAAACTTTAGTTTCTTTAAAACTTTACTTCTTCTCAAGATTTTGTCAACAGTAGTATGTTTCATCATGATAGTTAGTTCGAATACGTCATATCAAGCATCAGATCTAGTCTGAGCACACAATCAGTTTAATTGTCCAATCAGACTACTTAAAT